AAGTAAAATTAAAATTTTGGAAGGAAAACAAAGAGCAGACTTCGCTCCAGAGCAGCAGCTACTTGGTCTCCTGCTATGAGGCAAGATTGCTTTTTTTCCTTCGCTCTGCCTTTCAAAAACAGCAGGAGTATTTTATTCCCAGGTGTGTTGTATGTGAAACAGTATGGTCACCGCATAGCCCCCACCCCACACAGCGGGCGGCTCCCTGCCATTCACCGGGGAGCAGCAGACACGTAACCACACCATCTCCAGCCTGCCTCTATGGCAGTGACAGTGAAGGTGTGACGGGGCTTCCCTTGCCTGACTCCAGTGCAGCTAGCCCAGGTGAGGGTAGCAAGGGCAAGACGGCAGCCAGACCGTAGCAGCAGCTCAGGGACCCAGCATGGCCCAAGCTGACAGCCACATTGCTGCCCCTTTGCAGGTCTGCCCACATCAAATCCTGCACCCTCCTGATCAAAACTACCACAGCCATAAAGCTGGGGAGGAATGAAGGTTTTTTGTCTCAAATGCTTCAAATGGAGCTTCTTAGGGAGGCCACAAGGGGGTAGCCTTGCCGTGCCATGGCATCGCGGATGCAACGGAAGAAGATCCAAGGAAGCCCCTGGCAAGGCCCAGGCAGCAGGGACGGCAGGGTAGGGATGAAGCACTAACCAGAGCCTCGCCCCCAGGCTGCAGGGGGGACTTCGCTAGGATGTCCAGCCATTTCCTGAGCAGTCACAAGGAGGAGCTTGTACTAGAGAAGATGCCCCCCCAGCCCCCCACCGATCGGCTGCGTGGCTACAAGGCTCCATCTCAGGCGCAGAGAAAGGGAGCATCGGCCCATGCCATTCGGCCCTGGGTGTTTCTGACCTCTGGCCTTTCACTTCTGGTTTTCTGCCCTTTCCCCCGAAATCTGCATCTGCCACTCATTAAAGGCTGAAGGAAGCATCTTTCACAGAGGAAGGGCCGCTGCCCACCCCCGCCCCCGGGAGCCCCGTGGCAAGAGCCCTCCTGTCCCCAACGGCTCCACGGTGCTCGGCCTCACGCCTTCCCAGCTGTGTCCTCATGGCACGGCAGCCAGATGGGCTTTCTCCAGCCTGGCTCCTTTCTACCTTTTGTGGAGCAGGATGGGGTAACCTGCCTTTCTTTTCGAGGGTGGGGTGGGGTTCCCCCCCCCGCAAAAGCAGATGCTTTGGCTCTGGGTGAACTGCCAGTCCTCTATCCCAGCTGTGTGGGTGCCAAAACCTGCATCGTTCCTTGTTCCTAAATGCATCCTGGGACGCATTTAGGAACGAGGAGGCCCTGAGTGACCAGAGGCAGGAGTGACCCTGGCAGGGTAGCCTGGTGCTGGGGTGAGAAGGGAGTCAGCAGATCAGAGCTGAGTCCACAGAGAAGCTTTCGACGCCGTCTCCTCCCACCGCAGCAGCGAGCCCAGCCCCTCGCTGCCCCCACTCAGGCCTCCCTCCCACAGCCCCGGCACCCATCTGTGGGCAGAGCCTGGGAGATGGGGCTGCGCATGGCACCTAGCCCCCATCCTTGCGGCCCTGTTACCTGTCTCCCTTGGATCTGCGTTTCTGGAGGTTCTTCCCCTTCGGTCTCCGCTCGCTCCCGACGCAGAAGACGCCGCCGGGGCCCGTCACGCGGATGGACTCCAGGCCTTTGGACGACTTCTTGAAGGTGAACTCCACGGCTTCTCCTTCCTTCAGGCTGCGGAAGCCCTCCATGTGCAGCTTGCTCTGTGGGCCAGAGAAGGGACAAGGCGTTTGGGGACCAGGAGACCCCCCCAGTGCCCGCATGGGAACTGCAGATGCATCCCAGCAAACATATGGGGGCATTCTCCTCCTCCCTCAGGTACACTGAGGCAGACAGGTGACCCCCCCCACAGAGAACAGCTGGCTGATCTGTTGGCCCAAAGAGACACTTGCCTGAATCTAAATGCCCCGGGTGTATGGGAAGGCTGGGAAAGGGGCCTCCGGGCTCTTACTCATTGCCCCTTTGGGCCTGCCCCCATCTGATGCGGTGCCCAGGCTCCGTCCAGGTCCCAGTGAACAAGGATGGAAGTCACAAGGCCTCCCCTGCCAGCAGCCAGGGCTCAGCAGGTCTCAGAGCCCGAGCTGCCTGTCTTGAGGCTGAGGATGGAGGCACAGCAGTGGTGTGGCGGACACAGAGGGATGCTGGGGCTGCCTAGGCTCTACTGCTCCATGGAGTCTAGTTCCCAGGGCTGTCAGCATCAAAGCCTGGAGCCCTGGATAAATCCGGGTGCACCCAGAGCCACACAGGACCTGCCAGCTTGGTAGACAAGGACCCACCAAAGCCCGCACAGGCAAGAGCTGGAAGGAGATGCTTTCGCTGCAAGTGAGGGACTCTGCGAGCCGAGCAGAGCTCCTGGCCCTTGTGCTCAATGCCTCTCCACACACTGCCCCTCCCTGGGGGAATTATGCCTGCAAGGTCCTGAGCACCCATGACCTCAGCTGGGTGCAGCTTGCAGGATTGGGACCCTAGCAGGAGGCCTATGGGGAAGCACTGAACAAGCATGTGTTGCCCCTCAGCACGGGACTCCAGCACTTCCTTTTGTGCCACGCGAGGTGGCCCACGGCACTCGGCTGCCTTGCTTTCTGAAACAAACCCGTGAGTGGAAGAGACGTGGCTGACACCCCCGCTCCGCTCCCCCACCACGGCGCTGCACGGCGCCGTCTGCAGCAGTCAGGCCCTGTGTTTCCCTGAGCAGCTTCTCCGGGAACAGAGCAATGCAAAGCCCTTTGCTGTCCCAACAAGCATTGGCAGGAATAAGGGGTGTAAACTAGTTGAGAGTGGATTTAGGTTAGATATTAGGAAGAAACGTTTCACAGTAAGGGTGGCCAGGATCTGGGATGGGCTCCCAAGAGAGGTGTGCTATCACCTAGCTTGGAGGTCTTCAAGAGGAGGATATAGTCACCTGGCTGGGGTCATCTGACCTCAGTCCTCTTTCCTGCCAGGGGCAGGGGTCGGACACGATGATCCATTGTGGTCCCTTCCGACTCTACAATCTATGAATCTATAAATCTATGGCAGGATTTGTTAACCCCCTCCTCTCAGTTCTGAATTCAGTTTGTCCCATTTGGGAATCCATCCCAAGTACTTTCTAGAGGCACCAACGGAAAGAAACCGGCCAGGATCACAGCGTGACCGAAGCGGCGCGGGTTGTTTTCACCCTGCTCCTCTAGCCAGTTTAATGAAACGGCCATCAAGCACCCACGAGACGCGCACACCGTTCGCCCAGGACGGTTCCACGCTGGTTTGGAGATCAAACCCATCCTTTTTCCTAGGGACTCTGCGAATCACGAGATTGTTTCCACTGCCCATTTCCCAACCGGCTGGAATCCGAAGAGACTCCGTTTCAGGTGCCTGCGCAGCACTCCAGGCAAATGTAATACAGCACCGAAATGACCCATTCTGCTGCAGTAGGTTTCAGCCCTCCCGACACACCGGACCCAGGAGGCATTTTGGCTACAGACAGCTAGGCATTTCTGCGGCTTCCACCTCCACAGCATCCAAGCCCCTGGTGTTCACCTGCCCGTACCCCTCCCACCAGCTGGTCCAGGCCAGAGAGATTAGCAGGCAACACAAAGCCACTGGCTCTCGCAGAATCCAGCTGGGATGGGTTAGGTCCGGTTAGAGCCAGTGGGATCCGTTGGCCCGCCCGGGTCTGCTTTGTGGAGGGGAAGGGCGAGGAAAGAGTTAACTCGCAATCTGGCTGGGGTGGGCATTAAAACAATTTTCTTCTCTTTTAGCAACTCCCCTCCCCTGGCCCAGTGACATGCTGGGGATTTCCCTGCAGCCGCAGAGGCTCCAGCTCCCTGCCCATCTGGTCCACACGCTGCACTATTTTTTCTTCCCTTTCTTTTTTTTTTTTTTATGAATGGAGAATTCCCACCATTCATCTGTTACTCAGTAACCCGGGTCACGTGACCCCACACAGCCCATTCTTTGAAGCCTGCAGGAAAATGCCCAGATCTAGGCTTTCAGGGTGTGTGGTGTGCGTGCGGGGAGGGGGGGATTATATCTGTCCTTCTCCCCCCCCCCCCCACGCCTTCAAGACCCCCCTCTCCACCTGATGGGAGGGTCTTGAATACGGCGGGATCAGGGGAGGGGGTGATGATGGATCCTGACGGATGGATGTTCCCAGCAGGACGCGAGTGTTTGTGGGGGGGGAGGTCTGGGTGGGATTCAGAGCTGGCAGGAGGATCTCCAAGTTCAAAGGAGGATGTGGCGCTTCTCATCTCCCCATGCCAACAATATCACCCCTTTCCCAGCGCTGCCCCCCGCTCCGCTCCCTCCTCACTGGGGGTGACGCTGGGGAACCCCCATGGCACTAAGCAGCGTGATCCATGGAGCATCCTCGGTCACGCGGCTCCAAGGAGAGCTGGGCCTGGCCCCCGCAGCCAGGTGCCTGCAGGGGTGGAGTGGGGCTGGCGAGCGGGCCGCTCAGCTCCATCCAGTTCACGGGGCTGCCATCTTAGAGGGGAGGTCTGGGCAGGAGAACCTAGCACGACAAACCCCACGGGCTCTCAGGGACATGCACACGGTCTGCAGAGGCTTCCAACGCGCTGGTGTTCAGAGCGACAGCGGTGACGCAGCGCAGCCTCCCCCAGCCCCTTCCGCATTCCCCCTGCCCCGAGCCTCGGGGCTTTGGGCCGATGGCGCGAGGGCCTTTGCTCCCCCACAAGCCCAGCTCCACGGATGGCCAGGGGCAGGGGTTCGCTTGGCCTATGTTACCAGGCCAGTGCCCCGCGGCAGAAACCCCCTCAGAAGCAATAGGGTGTCACCTCCCCTCCACACTTCCAAAATATCCCTCACCCCTCTTTGCCCCTAAAATGTTTCCCCCCAGAGAGGTGAGAGAGGGGAAGGCCGGCGGGGGCCCCAGGGAGCCCCCCTTTGCCTCGGCTGTCTCCAATGCCAG